ATGCACAGACCTGTACCCCTGGGGATAAAAATATATTATATGTTTATAAAAAATAAAATTTAAAAAAAAAAAAAGACCAAAAAAAAAAAAAAAGTTTCTCTGGGAAAGATTGATCTGTCCCTCTTTCCCACAACCCTACAATCCCTGGCAATAAGAAGGTACATGTCTCTCTGACTCTGGGCTGTTCCCTTCAAGATAGCCCCATGGGCGGCCACTGGGTAGGGAGAAGGGGAGCTGGTTTGCGAGATGGGGGACTCGGGTGTCTGACCAGCCAGATCAGTATCAGCAGCCAGCTGTGAGAATATGCTGGGTTTTTTTTAAATTCAAGTGTTCACAAGGGGGAGAGACGAGCCCACAAAAGAAAAGATTTTCGGGCTCCAGTCAGTGGCTATTCATTTCAAGGACTGAGATGAGTGCGACGAAATGTTAATGTCACGAAATGATTTAGACATCCCCCGGAGCCTATGTGCCTGGCTACATCTTCAGTATTCTCTGTGGATATTCACCTCTTTGTAATCCGCTACGATTGGAATTGTCTACACCAAATGTTAAGAATGCTTCCCCACCTCAAAACGCCCTCCCAGCAGCCAACTCCTAGACAGAGGTTGTACCATAAAACTGTTCTAACATGCCGTAAACCCACCTGAGACCCTCAGCATCCGTATATTTGAGTGTATGTGTCAAAGGAGGCAGTTATTCAAAGAACCACCGTTTTACCCAGGATATGGTTCCTCCAGCAGGGATCCTAAGCCCTACACTGGGAATAGAGAAAGACAGGAGGACACACTCAGGAAATGGAGTCTGATGGACCCAAGTCCAAATGCTGAGGTTACCTCCTAATTGTTAGGATCATAGACAAGTGAACTTCACCAAGGCTCAGTGTCCTCCTAAGTATTGAAGAAGCTAATAACAGCTTACTCATAAGTAACAAAAACAACTTCATCAGTTCATGTGAGGACAGCATGAATGATACATGTAATTGGGGGGTGGGGAACAGGTACGGTGGCTGGACTCTACCACCTACAGATAATACAGGTTCATTCAACACCCCTCCCTGTTCAAGTTCTAGTCCCTATGTGGCCATCTGTTTTCTGAATGACTCTGAGCAATTCATTTCATCTCCAACCTCAGTGTACCCTTCTCTCAAATTAGGAGGTGGGACCTCTGAAGCTTCTAAAAGTCCTAGGATTGAGTCCAGTAAGGGGGGCTTGTTGTCTGCTTCTACTCCGAATACCCTTTGGTCCTCCCTCTTACAGTCTAAATCCCTCTTTAAATCCGTGGTACCAGTCCTTTCTAGTTTCTGGTTTGGGGATTTTTTTTTTTTTTTTTTTTTTTTGCCTCTGGCTCTGTTATCTTCGTCCACCCTAGTTGTTGAAAGTTATCTACAGGCCAGGGCTGCGTTAAGAATGGTCTCAGCTTTATCACAGAATGCATTTGCACAACCATCAGGGGATATACTTTTATTATGATGCCCATTTTACAAAAGAGAAAATCAAGGTTCAAGAGTTTAAGTAACTTACCAAAAGTAGGGAATTCAAAACTGGCTCTTCCCAGCTGCTTATAATCCTCATATGGTATCCTACCTTCCCAAGTCTGGCTGTACCTAATTCGAGCTCTATCTTCTTATGACCCTGTGCTGTGCTAGCTTATCTCATAAATCATTTTACATTAATAACTTTGTGTCACACCCGCCATGTGGCCAATGCACGAATTAACCAGGACCCATCATCTCTGAACCAACAGGGAAGTCATGATAGGATTCTCAGGCCCTGCAGCTGGTAGGTCAAGGTAAGATTTTAGACAGGCAGGACTTAAATACATCTTTCAAATAATAGCACATGGTCAAACAGCTACTCAACTTCCATATGAAACTGCGAAAACTACTGTGTTTTAATTCAAGCCTGAAGTGCAACCTTCCAGGGGCTTCAAGCCCATTCAATAAAGCAGAGTAGTAACAAAAAAGGGCTCACACCTTGGGGCCAGACAATCCCAGGTTGAGTAGTCAAGTGAATCTGAGTGGATTTCTCTGATAACCTCTCTGAGCTTATTTGTTAAACGACCTTGGGTAAGTCACCCCAGCTGAGCTTCAGGTCCCCAATCTGGAAGATGAGATAACAATGCCAACCTTAGAGGGATGACACAGGGACAGAAGGAATGCCTGGCCTGTGGTGGAAATACAAGAGCCTGCTGGAGAAGAAAGGAGCTGGGGGGATGGTCAGATTGTTTCCAGTGATCGGGATAGTCTAAAGCAGAAAGATGGAAATCAATAAGAGGTTCTTTGAACTTGAAGTGTCTTCCAAAATCTGTAACGACCCATGCCAATGAGAGTTGGGTGCCCTGTTAAGACAAAAGCCCCAGACCGATCTGACCTCTGACTCCATTCTGCTAGGTCATCTGGCAACGGTTGCTAGAAGCACTTTCTTCAGGTGCGAGGCTTCCGTTGAGCCAAGTGGCAGAGTGTAATCTCACACCCTGTCTCACTCTGAGAGCACCATAAGGTTGCCAGGGTAACTGAGCTATTCTGGTCCTTCCCTATGGGATCCCAACTTTATCCATATCCCATGGGCTCCCTTTGGTCTCGTGTTCTACACTCTCTGCTGAGGCCTCTTACTTCTGCCACACAAGATTAGAGGGGAAAAGAGAAGAGAAGGAACTGACCGTGCAATTGGACCTTAGCATTTTATTTCCTTATCATTTTATTTCCTTAGTTACGGCACATTTCCATTTACAGAGTACTTTCCCTTATAAAATCTCCCAGTGTTGACTTCTAATCTACTAAATATCTCCTCTGACCTCTTCTGTTTTTACCCTTTAAATATCTGTTGATGGTCCATTCACCACATTCCCCATTCAGTTATTAATGGCCCACAAAAACTTACTAGCAGCATTCATTTACTGATTAATCTGCACAACAATCCAGAAAGACAGGTAGTATTAATCCTTAGTTCTGCAGAGGGAAACCAAGGGGAAAAGAGAGGTTAACTCAGTTGCCCAAGGTCAGTGGCTAAACAAGATTATAACCAGGTCTATCCTGTCTTGTACTTCTATAAACACTTCCCACAGTGCTAGTCCCTTTCTTTACAAATCAACATTGTCAAGGCAGCTAGATCATTTCTGCATTGAGATACAGTTTCACAGAACAGTTTAGGACTATCATGATTCAACCTCAAGTTATTCAGCCTGCTAACAGTTCATAAATAAAAGTTGCTAAAATTAAGAGAGAATAGTACTTGAAAGCCAATTTTACAAAGGCAAAAAAAAGAGAAGTGAAAAGATCTGGCTTACAGACCCAACTCAGCCACAAGCAGACTCAGAGAGTCATTTAACTTCTCTGTATCTCTGAGTTATCTATAGAAATGAGATTATGCTGAATGTTATTTAAGGTATCCTGCTGTTTAAAACTAGATGACTGAGTAACCACTAAAACAGCACAAAATATAAAGCTCCAATACCCCAGTGCTGTCACAATCATGCTCACATTGGTGTATCCATTCATTGTTTAGTAAACTACATGGCTACAATCCCCTTGGAAAGCAAGATGCCGACACACAGCAAAAACCATAAAGAATTTCATATCCTTTTACTTAGTAATTTAATTTATACAATATTTTACCCTAAGAAATAAGTCAATTGAAGCAAAAAGACATATACAAATGAAAATGCAAATTTCAGTGCTAGGTATCAGAGGAGAAATTATCAATATCAATATTCATTTTTAAAGGAATTCCCTCATTAAATAAAAGCACAGAACAATATTAATGTCATGTTGCTATTTAAAAGGACGAACATGAAAATTATGCAAAGTTGTTGAAAATCATGTCAATAATATTCAATGAAAATAGCCAGAAGTAAAAGACCAGATACATCTTCAGATGCCAACTACATAAAATGTGGCTAGATGGGCAAGGTCAGGGGAAAACCGAAAATAGTTATGTTAGTAGTTAGGCTTAGTTTTAAAAAATATTTTAATTGTTAGTAATGAATGCTGTTTTTCCATTCACACAGACATTTTATCATTTCATTAATTATTCAAAAATTTCTTAGCCCCTGCTTTAGTCTGATGCAAAATGAATTTTAAACTTTCTGCCTAAATCTCCTGAGTAATTTTTATTGACTGACATATTATTCATGACATTATTCTTTAAGCATGATTTCTGCTCTTTACTATATAATTCTTTAGTGTCTTTAGAGATTCTAAAATCTCAGAACCCTTGCCTTCTTTTCCTCACCTAAGAGGATTCTTTTAAAACATGTCAGGGAAAAAAAAAAAAAAAAGATGTGTCATCTAATCTATCTACGAATAACCCGATGATTGCCTTGTAATGCTAATATTTGGCAACTGTCTGACCCAGGAGCACATATTTTTCCATAACCCTTGACCTACGGGTGCCTCTACAGTAACCACAAAGTTGTCATTATCCTTTTCTTGGTGTATCTAGGGTGGTTTCACATTCCAAGTTTGGGGAGCTTTACAGCAAGACAACTTATCATGTCAGGAGTTTTAGGGGCCCCATTGGTTCACTTAGGAAAGCTGCCCACAAAAGCAGCACTGTGCTAGGACCCTCCCTTCATAGAAAGACTTTCACAGCCTCCTCCACTTCTTAGAAATGTTCTCTTCCTAGTAGGTCATTTGTACATCTTTGCTCATAATATCTGGGAAAGACTGCAGAGCCAATGAATTAAAAATATGATTCTAGGTCTCATGTGTGCCAATGAATGCCCTCATTAAAGCAGCATGAGTGAGATGAGATGGGTTTCAAAGCTTTCCGTCCCTTTGCCCCAGAGCCGCTGAGGCCAGGCACTGAAAGGATGCACAGTAAAATTAAATATCTAAAAATTCATCTTTAATTAACAGAATTGGATTAAAGCTAGACACCACCGCATATCATACGAGAAATGGCTGAGCTGGCTTCCAAGTGCTCTAATTCAATTAGGACGCAGTGAGTGACACTCGGACGGGAAAGGTTAATTGGGGGCGCCAGAACGCAATCATTCCTTACCTAACCAGTCATTAAACTTCTTAACCTCTGAGGGCAGTCCCAGCTCGGTGAAATCGCCTGTGTGGAGAAGGATGTCCCCATAAGGCATCTGGATACCATCTGTTCTGGAGTGCGTGTCTGAGATGCAGACAAACCGCGTGTGGCCCGCTGGTTTTGGAGTGTCATATGGGATGGGGTCGACCCTAAAGTAGACATAACAGATCCCATAACAGTTAAATATATTAGAACCCTCGTAATTGTCATTGCACATACATATCGACGGTTATCCGTGAACGTACCCAGATAAACTGATGCAAAGGCAGAGGCGGCCGTTGCAACAAGGGAAACTTTGGGGTTCACAGGAGAAAGCATCCCCCATCTACGACCCCACTGACCAAATTCAAAAAGGCTTACTTACCTGGGAGGAGAATGAAAAGGAAAGAATAGCTTACATGTAAAATCAGAAATAACCTAGGAAACGGATAGAGTGATTAATAGTGAAGTTTAGGGATATTGAACCCCAACTGGGGAAGCAAAATTATGCTATTTTCTCTCATCATGCTCCAATTGATCCCACTACTCATTAAGAAATGGATAACTACATTTATTCCTTCTTAAACATGCATAACTTAAGCAGTGAACTAATTTACAGAGAACACTCTGCACATGCTTTGCCAACTGAGATGTGGAGAGATATAGATAGAACTTATATTTAATTTCCTTTCTGCAACCATTCAATACCTGTATCTTCTCGTCTTTGCTAAGACATTCACTAATCAAAACGGTGGGGAGAGAAGGGGACGTCAAAATAACAGGACTTAAAAGAGAAACACTGAACGTTAAAAGAACATTGTCAATCTCCTTCTTTACCACCATGAATTATCTGCAGTCCCAGGTACACTTGCAGATGACTTGCAACGCTCAAATGCCTTGGGCAAAGATTCTATTCAGTACAAACAGTAAGCCTTTTAATGGGTGTGTATAGATCTACATATGCATTAATATATGTATAGTTTTAGAGACCTAAGCACTGTGAAATTACACTAGGGCATAAGAATCAAAAGGCAAAATGATCAACCCGAAGCAAAGAAAATGAAACAGAACAGTCTCATTTAATTGAGTGTAACAAAGTGTGCTAAATAAACTTGGTAAAGAAATGCAAATCTGACTCTTCAAGCATACAGTTTTAATTATTTAAGGGGTTTGTAGCAGAGTTAAGGGTGCTTTAACTATATTAACTCTACACTGACAGCCTCCTTTAATTTCTCTGTAGGAATGTACACTTATTTTGGATTATGGGTGAAAAGCAGCAGTTATAAAGGCAAAGAGAAGGTCACAACAGAGGCAAACATGCAATGTGGAGATCAGTGTGTGAAACATTAAATAAGGAACAATATTTCATGTCACAGCCCCACCCTTCCTCGTTAACATGCAGCAGAGAATACGCTGAAAGCTCACCACGAGATTCCCTACATGTGTTACCTCCACAGGCTTTGTTTAATTTTTCTTTATATTTTCCCCAGTTTTCTAAAAGAAACCATCTGTTTTAACAATGGCAATTTTAGTGAGGAGAATAAAGACATCGATAGACAACCTGGATAGTCCTGAATTTCTTTAACGGGTAATCTTTTAATGTAATTTTCTCTTTGTCACAGGAGAAGGAGAGGAAGTAAGAAGAAAGGAGAGCAAGAAGAGAGGAAAGAGGGAGAAGAGGGGGAGGCACCGTAAACTGGTTAACGCAGTGGGTCTAATTGGAAACCCAAAAAGTTTAACTTTGCAAAAAATTAATGAATTTTTCCTGTAAAGGCTAGAAATTAATAACGCTATTACCATGGAGAATATTCACTAATCCACTGAGATCTCATGAGTAACCTGGAAACCCTTCTGATTATATCCAATGTTGACTCTTTTATATACATGGAAGTGTCTGGTGTCTTCCCTTCCATTACTGAGACTCTATTACACTCAGTCTTAGTGGTTCCAGTCTCGTCAATATCTCCTGTCTTCTAAAAGCAGTTTCCCGAGAGAATGAATGACTGTTCTCTGCAGCAGACTGGAAGGGAAAAGTGAAAGTGATCGTAATATTCTGTTTCCATGTCAAAAGTTAAGATGCTCCCTGGAATTGGACTGTGCACACTGATGCTTAATCCACCAACATTTGAATCAAAATTAAATAAATATCAACCACTGGACTTCTAAATACATGAATAATTCAAATACTCATATACGCATATACATAGACATAAGTACATCTTTATTTTCCAGTTCCCAACCTAATGGGAATATACAGACACAGTCTCTATTTCTCTTTTCTGTAACTTAGCTGACCTCCAGGCACAACTACTACATCGAAATCCTTTACACATCCATCACTTATCAAAGGGACATGCATTATAGTTATCATTTTGAATTTATGAGAAAATAGCACAGATATAAACCCTTCACTGTGAACAGGCCCCTATTCTGTGACTTCTTCTCAGTTTAGAGAAGCAGATCGTCCTCTGGTACATCACCTCTCTGGTTCCCATCTTAGTTCTACACTGGGAAATAACTTCCGGAGGCCACTGACAAGAACACCAATTTTAAGTGGCTTCCACTTCCCGCCCCACCTTCCCATGTCCTCCAGAGAAACATTTAAATGTCCAACAGAATTAACAGCGAAAGAAAGGCCACAGAATAGAAAAATAGAGGGGAAAGGGAAAAGGGAGAAAATGCATCTGCTTAGCTTTGAGCTGAAATAAAATGAGTCAAAAGTATTCAGGAAGAGGGGCGCCTGGGTGGCTCAGCGGGTCAAAGCCTCTGCCTGAGGCTCAGGTCATGATCCCAGGGTCCTGGGATCGAGCCCCGCATTGGGCTCTCTGCTCATCGGGGAGCCTGCTTCCTCCTCTCTCTCTCTGCCTGCCTCTCTGCCTACTTGTGATCTCTGTCAAATAAATAAATAAAAATATTAAAAAAAAAAAAAAAGTATACAGGAAGACTGTCAGAGAAGGCTCACCATCAAGATCACCAACTTGATGTTACCAGAGAGAATCAGGAGGATATTTAAGAGCGATATGGAGGACTGATTCAAGGTAGAGGCTTGGGGGAGGTATAAATAGGCGAATGCAGAAGTTATGTATATCCTCTGACCCAGAGACACGGATGTCCTTTGTTACCCCCAGGACTCAAAACAAGGCAAGAGATGGCTTCAGGAGACAAGACAGCACAGCATGTCAGAGGCACGCTGCAGGACAGCATGACAAATATCACCCGGGGGTCACAGGAAGGAAGACACGTCCACCCAAAGACATTCAGAGTTGAAAATAAGACATCCAGCAGAGTAGGCAAGTTGCAACAGATATAATTAAAGTTGAGACAACCCTCGGGAAACTACTATTTCCAAATTGGGCATTTGGTAAATGCTTTGGAAATAAAAGTCAAGGCAGTCAAATATTTTCACCGTAACAGTACGTCTAAGGGAGACCCCGACTACCAATAGATCTACCTGTTCACATTGTACGAAGACCCACAGACTACATTTTCGGTCTTAGTTAACTTCACTGCTTACTGTTTATGCTGCTGACTTCTCAAATGATCGACCATTTCCCCTAAGGCATCATGTCAAGTATCCTAGCAAGTGAGTATCTTACCAAGGCAATCTAACCCCCAGAGCCAGATTCAAATATCACAGTGAGATTTGCACGTACATTTGAGTACACCCAGGGGAAAACAAGATGACATGGGAAGATGAGAAGAAAACACAGCATCATAAAATCCCAGCACCGGACAAAACCTTAGCAGGCATTGGGTTCAATGTTTCTCGTTTTGTTTTAAGATCGTATTTATTTATTTGACAGAGAGAGACACAGCGAGAGAGGGAACACAAGCGGGGGGAGTGGGAGATGGAGAAGCAGGCCTCTCGCTGAGCAGGGAGCCTGATGCGGGGCTTCATCCCAGGACCCTGGGATCAGGACCTGAGCCGAAGGCAGACGCCTTACAACTGAGCCACCCAGGCGCCCCTGGGTTCAATGTTTTACACGAAGCTTGAATCTCTTTTACCCCATCTCTGCCTAACTGACACAAGTTTTCTTCCCAAGGTTTCCAGAGAAGGAGAGCTCCTGAGTTCCCTTCTCTTCTCTGGGGCCCCCCATTCTGGTTTTCTCAACAGTTCTACTTGCTAAAAAGTTTCTGATTCAGTCTACATCTCTACAGGCACACAGAAATCTGAGCATGGTCCAAAGAGATTGGCCCAGAGCCTGAAAATGAACAATGTTGGCTGAGGTATTTGTTTCTGGCAAGTCATTTCATTCTTTGGGGCTTCACTTTTTTTTTCTCATCTGTAAAATGGGAATAGTAACGCCTAATCTTCTATGTTGCTAGGAGGATATAAATCGTCAAATACTGGGTCTGGCACATGGCACATTCTCAGAAAGCAAAGACACAGAATGACCTAAGAGTGAAGCAGGCCTGACTATCTGCTTTGACTCTCACTCCAGATTTATTAACAGTGTGACACCGAGCAAGGGACTTAACTCCTGTGTCTTGGTTTCCTCACCAATAAAATGGATATAAAAATAGTACCTCTCCCAAAGGATTGCTGTGAGGATAAAAAGGTATCATGTACTCAAAGCATTTAGAACAGTCTGACACAGAGCAGACACTCAGTAAGTGGTTTTTGTTTTTTTACTAAGTGTGTAATATTTTTGCTACACTTAGTAGAAGTAGTACCTTTTAGTTTCTCTGACATCCATCTCTTCCGCTACAAGGAGGTAACAGCGACCACACTGGGACTTTCTGAGAGTTAAAGGAGGTCACAAACCCAAAACCCAGCACAGTCGGGACACATACCCCACGGTCAATAACTACATTGATATTTTTTCCTCTTATTTTCTTCTTTCATCCCAATATTCTGCATGTGAAATACGGGAGAATAGGAGAATAGTCCCCTTTTCACTTTGGCAGTTCTTCAAATATTTGAGGACAAGTACCATAACCCCTAATATCTTCTCCACTCTAATCTAGGAGCCCTGGTTTCTTCAGCTCTCCTTGTGTGTTTAGGTTTCCAGTGCCCACAGAGCCCTACTGGTCTCCTCCTCCACACGATCCAGCGGGTCTGAGCACCTCCCGGGACAGTGTCAGAATTTGTGGACCTGTGAATTCATGGGCCAGTGAGCTGCATATCAAAGACAAACGCTTTTAGGGGTGGTGGAGAGATGACAGTGCT